CAGAGGTTGGGTTCGAACCACGGACCTTCCGGTCAGTAAATTCGCGCTCTGACCACTGAGCCATCTCATAAGGCAGTGGGGGGTTAGGGTTTTGTTACGGGGGGCTGCCGAGAGCCCGTAACCCAATAACTTGATTCATTTTCTGTGAGTTACTTGCTTAACTCCCAGGCGAGGTGGGCACCTCTTGAGCCTACCCTAAAGACTCAGGACGCAGCAACACGGAATTGGCATGGTTGTTCCGGAACGATTGACCATCAGTAATTGATCCGCGGCACATGGTCAATGACGATATGGTCTGCGTTGGAAGTTGACTCACATGTGGGCAAGTGGATGGCCATGTGGCCAACCTGTTTCGATTGTTTCGGAAGTTTTCAGTGCATGGAAATAGTAGTGATCAGCACGTAACCGCAGCAGAGGTCCACCTTTGTCAGTGTTCCTCGATTCCAGTCCAAGACAATAATCTAAGCGAGTATCAACAGCGCAGAGTATACCTCCGTGCGCATTCATTCCCATAATACTATCTTCGCTCCTAGTCCGCTTTAATAAAAAGTCACAGGAAGCTCTGATAGTATGGAAGCTATAGTCTGTTGCGACACAATTAAAAGACGACGATTGTCGGCAAGTTTGCGATATGTCCTCACAGACGTTGCACAAATGCAACTACTATTGGGTATCCAAGCAAGCACATCCTACTTGGTGGCTTGATATAATGTCAGCCGCGGAGACTTCTGAGTCAGCAGAGCGTGCAACTAAAAGTGAAAATAAACCGAAAGAAAATTCACTTCAATAACCGTGTTTGTGTCTTGGATCCTCGTTTCTGTAGAAAGCAAGTTCAGTGTACAAGCGAAATCAGTCTGTCGTCTAGCTTGTTTGAGAGTGCGGATGGTAAAGACCGCCGGGTGGACTGAGCGTCGGGAGTTGAAAAATTATATCTAAGCTTCTATCGCAGTGGTCGACTTAAGAGTAGACGACAATTGGGAGCAACTGGATTGGTCCTTAAGAGGCTTACGAAGCTGTCACTGATCACTGGGTGGAAATGGAAAAAAAGAATATGTGGAAGAGGAAGTAGGGATGTTTCAACAATAACCCTGTCTTCGCTTATTCTCCCGGTTTTATGAAGCAACCAAGGCGATCCGGCTGATGGCACTGAGCGACGGTCGATATGGTCTGCACTTGTACGATTCTTGGCATCCCGCGGATCGTTTCCAGCTTCCACATGGTTGCGTGAGGAGGGCTGTTCGAAGTATTCTATCCAGAGGCATAGGGATGATGTGGTGAAGGAAGCACAACTTATGCAATATCATCAGTTCGTCCATCATGTACGAGTTGTCTACTACAGAGGACATCTAGTCTACTTCATTGCTGCTCAAGGCTTCCTACCAAACTCGGGCGGTCAAACACCCAAAAATTATAGCCTCTCTAGCGCATGATTATTATTCGCAACAAAATTAGTATTGCTGAACAGTCACTAAAACTGATTCTGTAACTAAAGTTAAAAGTGACCACTACCCCAATAATGAGTTCTTGGATTCTCTGAAACCGGTAAAGAGAAGTGTGTATACGTGATCCTCACACCTTAAACGCACATCATCATCATCATCATCATCATCATCAAAGACAGCAACATCAGTGTTGCCACTGATGCTTCACTGCCGTAAAACCATAAGGTTTGTCTATATATATATATATATATATATATATAATTGTATTAAAAGCCCTACAGTGATGAGAAGAGAATAAGAGTGGGTGAGGGAGGGGACCTAGTGCTGGCCTATGTCAAGCATACTGAGGTGCCAACACCTCCTACTGCTCAGTCAGACAATCTGGAAAGAAACTGACAGCACGAACGCCACTGACATCGATTAGCCGCCATTTCTTGCAACGTCTCCAGCCAAGCACA